ACATATTCTGTGTTTAATTCTAATTGCACCTTTGTGATGTGTATTTATATACAGTGTGCAGAAAATGTTTGTGAAATTTGGATTACAATTATAGATTATGTATGATGGCATTGCTTGAGAATGTTTTGCTTGTAAAAATTTGGAGGTGCAATCAAATGCTACTAGTTTTTCTGATTTTCAAGAAACTAAAGTATTAAGCCTTTTCCTTTGTGTGTAGTACTTACTAAACTTTTTGTATTTAGGCATTTGCATCAAATTGCTGAACAAGATTAATATCCACATTAATTCAACAATTTTAAAAGACTATTTGGGGAGGGTTGGGTATATAATTTTTTAGCTCTATTTACATCCCAAAGTAGAAAGATTAAATTTATATTTACTAGAGCTATTCAAAGAATACACTTTTCTATATTGTGAAAACAGGACAGCAAAGTAAATCATACAAAAAATAAACATTTATACTATTCTGTAAAAAAAGGTTTTGCACTTTTTCTTTAATAACACCACTTTTAACCATTTAACATGCAAAAAACCTTTAAAATACCTGATTTTAAGTAAATTTAACATTACTTCTGAAAGCACACAACTAAAAAACAAATCTAGCATTTTGCCCAATTATTAACAAAAATTGCTTTGAAATGACAATGTCTTTTCTAATTTTCCACTGTTTCTTTTAAGGACAGAAACTCAACCTACTCTTTCCTTTATTATGTTTTTATGGTGAGTACCGTTATTAGTTTCCTTTTCTCTCAAGAACTAAAAGCAACTTGAAGATCTTGTCTTTAGACTGTAAGGGAACCAGACCCTTAACGTTATAGGTAATGAAATACGTAGCAACTTTGGGGAGAGACCACTGCTTTAGCTTCCACATCCTTTGAAATGGACAACTGACATTTTCTCAATTCTCATGTAAAATGTGAATAAAAATACCTTTAGAAAAGTCTTCTATTTTTGTTTTGTAATACAAATAAATAAGAAAATGAATACTTCGTAAATGCAGCTTCCAAACCAGGACCTCCAGCCCTGTGATCATACTGCATCTCTTAAGCATTTTATATGGGGATTTTGTAGCAGCAACCCAAAGACAGGGAAGCCAATCCACTAGAAAGCCTTTACTATTACAATTTCTGTTATTATGTAGTATAATGTAAATTACTTAGGTCTTTTTGTTTTTCTTCGTTTGGCCTTCTTTAACCCTCCGTCAGGCGCAGCTGATCTCACAGATTCTCTACACACAAATTTTCAAATATCTAAGTTAAGTATCGTGACTCATTGCTTCCGTATCTTCGCCCTCTTCTGTAACCTATCTCCAGTCGTGTTTGTGACTTAGTACAGTAAAGACGTATTTCATAGCATCTTTATGTGCAATGAATCTGTGAGATCAGTTGCGCCCGACTGAGGGTTAAAGCTCATTTTGTCATCTCTAGACCAAATGTGAGCTTTTTATGATCCACATGGTTTTATTAAATGGAAGTTTTTTAAAGTTTTAAAAACTTTTGAAATTAGGGCCGGCCGAGTGGCGCGATGGTTAAGAACTCGCTTGGGATGCCAGAGGGCCACGGTTCGGATCCCACATATGAGGGCCAGTGACACTGCCCTCCACAGCTAAGATGCTGAACAACAGCTCAACCTGGAGCTGGGCTGCCGTGAGTCGCTGGCGACGGCTAGGCTGCAGTACCTGTGGCAGTGGGTTGCCATGAGCTACCGTGTGTAGCCAGCAGCCAGCGTGAGCGGCCAGCAGCCGCAGTGAGCGGCCGTCCAGAAGCCGGCGACTGATCTGCCTCGCCAGGGAAGAGCGCAATGATGGTGCCAACTTGGGCCAGTGAAGCAGCGTCCTCCACAACTAGACTGAAGAACAAAACGACAGCAACTTGTCTGTTCCCCTTCCCCTAATTCCCCAGTACTGTTCCCATCCCCTCAATTACCCAATAAAAATCTTAAAAAAAAACAAAAACAAAAAAACTTTTGAAATTAAAATCTTCCTTTTAAATAGTTTTACGAATGCATTTAAGGCATTTTTAGTTTTTGCTCAAAAGCAGTAAGAAAATTATATTCAGGGTAATGTTTATTATAAGGTCACAGACTTTAAATGTAACTAATTTATTATATTAGCAAATAAAATCTGACAATATATAAAAAACAATACATCATGACCAGGAGGGTGGGTTTAGCCCAGGAATTAAAGGGTGACCCAACATTCAGAAAAATATCAATATTATGTATCAACATACAAAAGAAGAAAAACGATGTGATCATCTCAAAAGTTGCAGAAAACAACCTTTTAGATATGCGAAAAACTACTGAGTTGTATACTTTAAAAGGGTGAATATTATGGTATGTAAACTATCTCAAAAATTCCCTCCTCCCCCCAAAAAAGTGCAGAAAATCATCTGACAAAATTCAACACCCATTTATGATTGTGAAAAAAAAAAAAGCTCTTTAGCAAACTGGGAATAGCAGGGACCCTCAAGCTGATAAAGAGCTTTTACAAAGAAGTCTACAGCTAACACCATATGAACGATGACGACTGCTTTCTCCGAGACTGGGAACAAGGCACTGTGCTGGACGTCACTGTGCTATAAGGGGAAGGCCATAGACTGGAAGTGAATAAATAAGACGCTATTTGTGGGTAACGTGAATACCTATATAGGAAAGTCAAAGGATCTTTTACAGAAAGCTACTAGTTCTAATATGTGAGTTTAGCAAGGTCAGTATACAAGTGTATTTCTACATAGTAGCAATGAACATTTAGAAACTGAAATTTTAAAATGATCATTTGTAGCAGCACCACAAAACATTAAATGTAACAAAAATATGTCCAAGATCTGTATGTGAAATATAGAAAACATTGATTAAAAAAATCAAAGACCTTAAAAAAGATAACCATGTTCATGGATTGGAATATTCAATATCATTAAGATGTCATTTTTTCCCAAATGAACCTATAGATTCAACAACTTGTCAAGATCCCAATAGGGAGTTTTGTAAAACTGAACAAGCTGATTATAAATTTATAAAATTCAACAAACTGTTTACAAAATTTTCATGGAAAGGTACAACTAGAATAGCCAAACATTTTCGAAAAAAAAAAGTTAGAGGACTCCCACCTGACTTTAAGGCAAATCAGGACACTGTGGTATTGGTGAAAGATAGACTCTTGGATCAATGGAAATGAATAGAGCCCAGAAATAGACCCATATATGTGTCGTCAATTTTCAATAAGGGTTCAAAGGTCACTTGGGAAAGAATGGTCTTTTTAACAAATGGTGCTGGGACATCAATATGTAGAAATATGAACTTATATATCACACACCAAAATTAACTGAAAATGGATCATAACCTAAATGCAAAACCTAAAACTATAAAGTATCTAGAAGAAAAAACACACGAAGACAAAAATCTCTGTGACCTTGAGTAGGCAAAGATTTCTTAGATATGAAACCAAGTATCACCCTTAAAGAAAAAAAATGGGCAAATTGGACTTATCAAAATTAATAAAGTCTGCTCTTCAAGAAATAAAAGCACTGAGAAATAAGAAAAGCCACAGAGTAGGAGAAAATATTTGCAAAACGCATCTGATAATGCAGTTATGTCCAGATTATATAACAATTAAAAAAACCAACCTTCCCAAATATGGACAAACAACTTGAACAGACATTTCACCTAAGATCATGTGGATGGCAAGTAAAACTACAAAACGCTGTTCCTCATCACTAGCTATTAGGAAAATGAAAATGAAAGCCACAATGAAATACCACTGCACACCTATTAGAATGGCTAATTCAAAACAAAACCCTGACAATACCAAGTACTAGAGAGGAGCAACAGGAACTTTCAAACACTCCTGGTTGAAATGCAGAGTGGTACAGTCACTTTGCAAAAGCAGTTCTGGCAGTTGGTAAAACACATGCTTACCATATGACCCATTGTATGGATACAGCACATCTTTATTTATCCATTCATCAGTTGGACATTTAAATGTTTTCACTTTTTAGCTATTACAATCCTGCTATAAAATTTCTGTACAAGTTTTAATGTGGCCATATTTCATTTCTCTTGGGTATATATGCCTGTCAGTAGAATTACTGGGTCATATGGTTACTGTTTTACTTAACCTTATGAAATGTCAGGCTGTTTTCCAAAGTGTCTGCATTCCCACCAACGGGTTATGAGGGTTCCAATTTCTCTACATGCTTGCCAACACTTGTTATTATCTTTTTTATTAGAGCCTTCTTAGTGTGAAGTGCCATCACATTGTAGTTTTGATTTGCAGTTCCCAGAGGGCTAATGATGAATACATATTCATGTGTTCACAGGCCCTTAGTATAACTCCTTTGAAGAATGTTTGCTCATAGTCTTTATCCATTTTTCAAACTGGGTTGTTGAGTTATAGAAGTTCTTTGTATAGTCTAGATACAACTCCTTTTTCTGATAATATGATTTATAAAAATTTTCTCCCATTTGGGGATTGTCTTACTTTCTTGATGGTGTCCTTTAAAGCACAAGTTTTTAACTTGGAAGACATCCAATTTATTTTTTGTTGCTTGTGCCTTTGGTGTCACATCTAAGACACTATCACCTAATCTAAGTCTCAAAGATTTACTCTCTCCTAAAAGTTTTATGCTTTTACCTCTTACATTTAGGTTTCTGATCCATTTTAGAATCAGTACTTTTGCATGTGGCTATCCAGTTGTTCCAGCAGTATTTGTTAAAAAGTAGGAAGGATAAATTTCTGACAGGAATGTTAGTTTTCTCCAAAGAAAAAAAGGACATGGGTACTGAGTTGAATTTGTATACTAAATTACCCTAATCAAATTACCCTGATCAAATAATATAAAGACATTTTTACTGTAAAGCATATCATATCAAGTAAATCTGGTATCAGACTTGGAACACTTTCACTAGGGCAATAGCAATTAAGTGTGCTGAAAGCAGTGATGTAAACATTACCTTCAATGTTTAAATTATCCAGCACTTAAATAATGCAAAACACTAATTTCTTAAAATACAGAATATATTAGTATATGTGTCAAATGTAACAACAAAGAAAATAAGACACTACAGATATGAACCCAGTTTTAAGTAGAGATCAGGTACAAAACTTGGATTTATATAAGCAATAAGTTAAAAGTGGTGATTTATAAACATGCTTCCTTTAAATAAGATTTATCCTGGTGCATCTAGTCATTCTTCAAACAAAACAAAAACCACAATATTCAGACTTCTCAGCAATAGCTCTTGTGTAAAATACAGTACAACTCTGGTTACATTTCAGAACTTCAGCCTTTGTTTGAGGTAGAATAGAAATGTATCAAAATAGACTAAAGGTGAATTTAAAGTCCAGAAAAATCTTTTATGTAGTCATTCATCTTTAGCAATTTTCAGTTTTCATATTAACTATACTTTGTGAACATTCACTCAGTGACAAAAAGATTATTTACATACATGGATGAAGAATGTGCTTGTTTCTTTTAGCCATTAAAATACTCCCATTTGTGAAAGTATCGATATGTTTTTCTATTTATCCAAATCCGGGTGTGAGAATGGAGAAAATTGCCCTTATTATGTTTCCACCTTTAGATTATTTAAGCTTCTAAATTTCTGAAAAACTCATTATTATAATTAAGACCAGGTTTTTTTCATAACCTATTGTCTCAATTGATCATCTTTTTTCCAATTTTTACTCACATGCTGTGAAATTCGATTATTCATCCAACATATGAAATATGTTTCCTTATTTTAGCCTGTCTGCAAACACAAGTAGATCTCAGAAGAAGCAGAAGTTGAAAGAAAGGCTTCTTCTCATTCATAGATGAGCGCTGGGCTCTTCAAATAGCAGTCAAGTAAGTGTGCATTCTATTGTTCAAAAGTAGTATTTCAAAGTCTAGAGACAATGGATTGTGAAAATTACATCACCTGTGTACACCTGTGTACTTCCCGGACTACATTCCAACCCAGCTTGGATGCAGCACAAGGAACCATTTCATGGCTCATGTGTTTACCTTCTGCTTGATAAAGCATAGTATTTCTATTTTAGGGTACTGTGAGCAAAGGGATTTTTGTGGTATTTGATATGTTAATTTAGCTTTAATTCTTAAGCCACATCTTAACTTCCATGTGCAAGTAAAAATTATATTCAAGGTTTTATAGGCATGCTGTCCACATTCTTAAGAGCTATAAACCAAAGAGCTCTTTTAGGGAATATAGTCTGTTTGTAATATGAGTCAATTTTTTGGTGACTCCTTGTTTTTGTTCTCTTATTTTTAAAGTAGATTGAACAAGTTAAAAGTATGTCTAGTCACATTATTCAGTCTTAGTAAATTCAAAGACAGCAACTCTGAGCTAGTCTGCTTGGTTAACTGAAATGCTGCAAGCCATACTAAAGTTCCAGCAGACTGTAGGGTATGCAAATGACAAATTCTAATGAGTCAGAACTGCTGACCTGTCCACTGTGCAGAACGGTCAATTTATAAAATATGGTTAAGTTGACTTTAAAATAAATGTTGACCAATTATTCTTAAAATAAGTTTTAATATTTTAGGTCCCTCATTTGAATGGATATCCGTCATTACTTAGCAGATGCCTGAATTTATTGGTGTTAGCAAACCTGAATGTCTGTAGTCCTGTAAAGATGGCCAGTGTTTCCTTGACAAAGTTTTCATTTTAATTCTTTCTGAATGGTATTTTAAAGGAAACTGAGCTACATCTTTAGCTCTGAACTTGAAGAAACAGGTTATTATATCCTTTAGTAACTTTACAAAGTGATTGATGGCATACACTTCTCCATCAAGGAGATGCTCATCTAACTCGACAAAAAGATAAGTATGCCCACAAAGCTCACATAATATTTTCTGTTGAAGATAAAATTCCCTCCATTTAGGAAGTCGTTCATTAACTGTCATTCTTGAATGGGTTCTTACAACTCGCTCACAAATATTTATGACTCGACATAAACTTTCTGAAGGGATATGCAAACCATTCTTCTTTTTAACACATAACAGTGATCCAATTTTAGAGGCTTTGAGATCTGATGCATACAGTGCACTGATGCAGTCCTCACAAGTTAAAAGAGCTGATAACTTATCTGCAATATAGCCAGCACAACAGGTGAGATTTCGCCTATGATCTGACGGGTCTAGTAATGCCTCACTTAGCAAACAGTTAGACCAGTCTTGGCAAATATCCTCCTTGTGAAAAAGAGTCTTTATAATGCTGACACCATACTGACGTCGAACTGTCCAAAGGGCCAAGTCTGTCCTTCGAGCAACTGAAATGTCAAGGATGCTTGGTTCACTTAGAAAAACTTCACCGTGTACTCTATATGTGGTCTCCAAATTATGGTAAGCTTTCTGGAATGCCATGCAGGTGGGGTTAGAAGTGGTGGCTGTTAACTGTCTAAGCATCTTTAAAAATAATTCCAGATGGTCTTGACTGAATTTGTAAGTCAAAAGATATGGAAAAGGCATGGCCTTTGGAAAAACATAGTTTTGGTAGAGCCATTTTAAGCTCTCAGCATTGAGTAAAAATCCCAGGAATCCTAGTTTTCGCTTACCTTTAATTATTTGATTGTTGCTAGTGTCAGATAATGTAACAAAAATAGTCTTGGCTTCAATTAACACATGATCAATTTTACTAAAAGTTTCTGGCATTAGAGGTCCTTTATGTCCCTTTCCATAATAGTTCCTACTATTAAAAATGTCAAAGAGATTGTTAATTAAGCGTATAAAGTAGATGGTGCCAGTACAGTTTTGAAAAGGAGGCAGGCCTAGTGACAGCAAGCATTCTAACGCGCTGGCCGCGCCTTCACTGAAGAGTTGGGCAGCACAATTCATTTTCAGTACGTGGTTTTTCAAATTTGCAAGTTTTCTTGGGATTTTTTTCATGTTTGATAACTTCTGTTCCTCTAGTGCTACTAACTCCACAAGGTGCTGCCATTGTGCTGTGCCATTAATAAACCGAATGCTTTGAAAACTCTGAAATGCATTTTTTATTAATCTAAGCAAGTGGCAAGAATCAAAGAAGTAGGCAATCTGTTGACCAGAAGATGAAGGATGCTGAAATGTACACTTCATGTCGTCTCCATCCATTTGTATCCCCAGTGCTTTTGCCATCTGAACACTTTGAGCTGTAGCATCAGACGTAATAGCCACAACTTTGATCCCTATGTCACTTAGTTTGCCAATAGTCAGACGAAGCAGCTGAGCTTGCAAATATCCAGACACCCTATTTACAAAAAAATAACCAAGAGGTATTTTCCAATGACCAGAAATACCTACTGCCATTAACAAAATAGTTTCTGAGGCGAGTGGCATTTCATCAGCGTCAAGTTTGCCAAGACCGAAGTCCATAAACCCTTGCAAATGGTGACTGCTGGGGTCCCACTGAAGCTGTTGCTTGAGAGGTATACATTTTATTATCAGTGAACAATACTGATATAGCTGGTCTCCATTCTCTACTCTTTGTTGAAGAAAAGAAAAAATGTTGCTGTTGAAACCTGGACTGGGTTTGCATTTGGATAACCATCTAGAAAATGTAAAAAAAATGAAAAACATAAAACTCAAATGAAGAAATTTTAAAAAGGGAAAAAGCCTTAAATGGCACTAAAGTAGCCTCAAATCCCTGTGGAAATAAAACCAAGTATAAGTAGCCAAATTCTACAGGCATTTTCAAGTAAATATTGAGTTACCTTAAAATAGTAAGATAATAGAGAAACTTAGAAACACAGAATAGTATTTTAAGATGCAAACATAACACAAAATAATTTTTCATTTCTCATTTACTTCTTTAAAAAGTACACAAATCAATTACCCAATTTGTCTAATTGATGTGTTTATAATTTAGATCAGAAACCAGTCTTACCTATAGATTCACTGAAATGAGAAAATTGTTGAATGGGAAGGAAACGCAGAGAACATCTAGTACACATACTTCACTTTACAATTAGGAAGCTGGTACAGAGGGAGAGGGTAGGCTGCTTGGCCTGTGCTGTGCTGCTAGTTCTGCACAAACGTGAAACCCAGCTGTGCTGATGCCCTGACCAGAGCTTTTCTCACTGCCCCTCACAGCCTCAAAGGATGTCTGCATCTGTTTGCTCCTACACAAAGTACCTACACACTGTCTGAGTATAGTATCCCTGACCTTCCCAGAATGCTGATTATTCTTTCTTGTTACTACTGGTGTGTATCTTCAGCATCCTCCTCACTCAGTGAATTTCTTTCTGGTTTACTGAAAATCAGGAAAGGAAATGGCCAAGTTTAACAGTTGTCTAAAATAAGACTAAAAGGATTCCGAGATAGAGACTGAGGTGCTAATCTTAACTGAAATTTACTTTTGTAATTCAAATGACTTTTGGGGTTAAATTTCTGATTTTTGGGCTATAGTCTAGGCTTCCTGGACAGCTGATTTCTATTTAGTTGAGATTTTCAAGTATAATACTTCCCTAAGTATTTTAGGACAGGGCTTTCCAAATATTTTGCTGTAACCCGTCAGAAGTTTCATAAACTGAATTTACCCTTACTACATGCCATGTGCGTGCACACATGTGTACACATATAAAATTTAATGCTAATTATGGCCCACTAAATTGATTTTAAGATGTACTAATGGGTTTGAAAAACACAGTTATAAGATGCAAAAGATATACTTCAATTGTAAGTAGCTTACAATCTACTTAGGAGACAAAAGTTATTAGTTGTTTATTATATATTTTAAAATAGGGCAAAATATTAAGACAATGAGAAAACAGTACAGTGGCTCTCCAACAGGGTGCTACAGCCACTAGTATGATGAAAACCTTTTCAAGTGTGTCACCACATTTTAATTGTTTAGAATTTATTCTTTTGCATTAGGAGTCTCAAATGAACACCAAGGATTCGGCACTCTCAAATGAACACCAAAGATGCTAACTGTGTTGCAATATGCAATGAGTATGTGATGAAGCCACTTAATGCCTCTATGTAAAACTTTTCTTTTAAATAGGTTTAAAAAAAGCTTATGTTCTGGTGAGCTTGATTTTTAAATGAAAGTGTAAATGGTATCTTTTTTTTTTTTTTTAAACTTGCAACAGAGGACAGTTTATTAGACCAGAAAATAACAGCTATCAAAATGAGAGGGGGTCCCAACTGGGTTGCCCCCTGTAAATGATATCTTAATGTCCACAGCTACTAGGATGATGTTTTGAATATCAGGCAGAAAGATCTGTGTACTTGTTGATTTACTTTTAAAAGTTTTTATAATTGAGAATAGAAATACCCAAATCATATTTGTGAGTTAGATCTGCAGGGAAGCGGCTGATTACTCTCTAAAATCTTTTCCCTCACATCAAAATGGAAAAAAACAAAACAAAATTCTGATTAAAAAAAAATGCGTCGGGCCGGCCAAGTGGCGCGATGGCTAAGAACTGGCTTGGGACGCCAGAGGGCCCCGGTTCAGATCCCACATATGAGGGCCAGTGACACTGCCCTCTACAGCTAAGATGCTGAACAACAGCTCAACCTGGAGCTGGGCTGCCCTGAGTCGCCGGCGACGGCGTAGGCTGCAGCCCCTGTGGCAGTGGGTTGCCATGGGCTACCGTGTGTAGCCAGCAGCCAGCTTGAGCGCCCAGCAGTGGCAGTGAGGGGCCATCCAGAAGCCGGCGACTGATCTGCCTCGCCTGGGAAGAGCGCAATGATGGTGCCAACTTGGGCCAGTGAAGCAACGTCCTCCACAACTAGACTGAAGACCAAAACGACAGCAACTTGTCTGTTCCCTTCCCCCAATTCCCCAGCGCTGTTCCCATCCCCCCAATTCCCCAATAAAAAATCTTTAAAAAAAAAAAAATGTGTCAATTTTTACAAAAAGAAACAATACAGAAAGGCACAAAAATGAAAGTAAAATTATTGTTAATATTTCAGGAACATTCTTCTAGATCTCTTTATGTATACATACCTAAATATAACTTGTAAAAATTATACTGAATCTATTTTTTTTTTTTACTAATGGTAATGTTATACAAAATTTTACATGTCCTTAACTGCTGACCTACAAGATTTTAAATGTGTACACAGTATACCACAGAATAGTTAAGCCATAAATAGTTTAACCAACTTGTATTGAAGGACATTTAGGTTGTTTCCATTTTTTAGACAATATAAATAGCACCACAGTGTGTTTGTGTACACATATACACATATACATATTTATGGCATTTATGCAATTCCTAGGAGTAGGATGCAGATGTAAATTTATTTATGCATGTATTGGAATAAATGGACTTCACTTACATAAGAAATTAAAAATAAATTTTGGGCCTCAGGTGCACATAATTGATTGGGTGGGTCAACTTAGAATTAATTCACAATTCCTAAATTGTCCTTCAGAAAGTTTATACCAAACATAATTTGCATTCTCATCAACATGATTTCTAAATTGAACAATAGCTTAGTTATGGAATGATTACAGGGAGTCATCTGGGTAGCTTAAAACTGCCTGCAAAAAATACAGTGCTAAAGGGCCATAAGGCTGAGCTTAGTGTTTTTCTTTAAAATTAGAAAAAGATTAGACTATTAGCTCCTCCTGCTGTCTTGTTTACTTTTCAAAAAATAAAAGATAGAAAAGTATACCTCATCTATAGAGGAAGCTAATTTAATAAATTGCAGAATAAAAAAATTGAAAATTAGAAACAAAAAATCTAAGATCATACAAAACATCACTATTATAATAAAGAATGCTGAGGATGTTAATGATATCATTTCAAACATTTGTGAAAACGAACTATGTTAAAGACCCAAAGCACTGTAATTGTAAGAAGCACAGCTCTGGGAAGAGTATGGACATAAAGAATTCAAGGGAAAACGGAAAAAATATTCAACATCACTACAGATTAGAGAGATGATAGTAGCTAAGAATTAGAGAAAGATATAACAATTAGAGATTAGTGAGTAAGGTCACCCACCTAATTAAACCAAGGGTTTTTTTATATGTTGTCTGTCATCTAATTGTTTGCCATTTAAGTGTTTCTCCATCATCATAGAGGGAAAAAACAACAACTATTCACATTTTCTTCTTTCTTCCCAAACTTCTAGTGCCCCTTCCCCAGCTCTCATCTATTAACTTTATGTCACTGAGAAAACAGAAGCAATCTGATAAAAAACTCATTTTCCTACCACCAAACCTGTTAACCTATTGAAGCCGTATCTGCCTTTTTCCTGTTTCAGTGCATGAATTGTCCCTGCTAATTAAGGCCAGACCTCCCTCCACAATGGTGTTGGCTGTTATCCTCCTGCAATGATCCCTTCTCTTGTATATCACCAATTTCTTCTGTCTACTAGGCTATTCCCATGTGCGTAAACATGGTGGAATGACATCTGCCATCTCAGCAAACACCTGCCCCTCCATCTGTGTTCCCTTCTACCTGCAGGTGCATTGTTCTGCTCCCTTCACAGAAGAACTCCTTGAAAGAATCCATAATCACTGTTTTTGCTGATCCCACTTCAGCCACGCTCACCTCTCCACCACTCCTCTGCAACTGCTTTTGTCAAGGTCATCAGCGACCTTCATCTTGCAAAACCCAGTGGTCAATTCTCTGTATTCATTCTACTTGATCTCCTAGCAGCATTTGATATAGTGGACTACTATCTCCTTGAAATATTTTCTACATTTGCCTTCCAGGCCATCACAATCTCCTGGTTTTACTCCTGCCTCACTGGCCACTCCTGATCAATAAATATTCACTGAATAAATGAATATTAAATATAATGATTATAAAGAACTAATTCTTAAGCAGAGATGTGTTCAAAATAGATGTATTTTTTTAAATGGGAAAATGAATGGAAATGTAATCAAATACAAACATGTTTGACACATCATATTTTTAAGGATAAAATCTAGGTACTTCTAATATATTGGAATAAGAAATGGCCATTAAAACAAAATTGTATTCATAAAAAAAGAGATTTTTTAAAAGTTTGGGGGAATATATACCAAACTGCTAAAAGTGGTTATCTTGTAGGATTAGGAGAATGGAAGTAGTATAAGTATTTTTCACTATTATATAGTCACATATTGTTTGAATGTTTTATAACAAATATGTATCACTATCACATTAAATAAGGTACCTTAGTTTCAGACAAAGTACTCAAAGAAATAACCAACTTTTTGAGGACTAAAATTATAAATCTAAATAGATAATGTCACAGCAAAGGTTACAAAATGCAAAATGACATGAAGAGAAAAAAGATAAGTGTGAACTGGAGTTGCCAGAAGAGACTTAATCCAGGAGTTGATGCAAAATTACAGGAAATGAAGAAAATCATGAAGAAAAAAAAAAGATAAATCACATGGAATGTCTCGCATAAACCATAATGTAAAACCAGTACAGAGGATTTGATTAAAAAGGTGTAGGAGGAGGAGTTATCAACATAGTGTCTACAAAAAGGTCTCTTGCTCAGCAGAAAGTAGATATTTATAAATAAGTATAATACCTAGCCTAAATGGTAAAATCATATTATGGAAGAGAGTAAATAAGCCTATACACAAATGTTCATCTCAATGTAAGAAATAGCAATTACAACAGAAAGTGGAAACAATGTAAATGTCCAATAGTTGGAGAATCCCCAAGTTAATAGGTATGTCTACCTGATATTATACAACTAGTAAAGATCAAAACTATTTAAAAAACTAGTAAATATAAGCATAGAAAAAAAGCCTGGAAGAAAATTTCCTAAATGTTAATAATAATTGTTTACATAGACAGGAACAATTAATGAATTTTCTTTCCTTTTCTCTCATTTCTAAATTTTTTATTAGTAGTAGTATTTTAATAGTGTGTATGTAGGAAAACTCACATTCATTTTTTTAAAAAGAGATGTACAGCATGGTGGCTATAGTTAATAATACCATATCGTGCGGTTCAAGTCCCAGCCCGAGCTGAGCAGCTGCTGAGCTGCCAACAGGTGGCAGGATGGCTCAGCTAAAAAAAAAAAATAAAAATAATAATAATACCATATCGTATATTTGAAAGTTGCTAAGAGAGTACCTTAAAAGTTCTCATCACAAGAAAAAAAAACAAAAAATTATGTGTGATGAATGTTAACTATATTTATTGTGAGCATTTTACAATATACAGTAAAACCTTAGATTGCAAGTAACGTGGTTTGCGAGTGTTCTGCAAGACAAGCAAACATTTCTAATACATTTTAATGTGGTAAACGAGCGATGTCTTGCAATATGAGTAGTTTCCAGAACAAATTATGCTCGCAAACCAAGGTATTACTGTATATATAAATACTGAATAAATGTACACCTGAAATTAAAATTATATGTCAGTTACATCTCAATTAAAAAAATGTTTTCCCTCAAATGGAAAAATAATGTCATAATTAAGGTCCTTCCTTTCACCAGGCTTCAATCTCTCCCTTCTTTAAAACGAGGGGGTTGGGCTACATGATTTCCAGCTCAGAAACACTATGAGTCTGTTTTAAAGTTAAAGCAATAGGAAACCAAGATGCACCTTCCGGGAGAGATGGCTCCTGCCATTCCTGGCTGGTCTCTGCCCCGACTGCAGTGAATTAAATGGAGGGCTGCTTTTGAGACAGCAACTTGAGGTCCACTGCATTTCTTCCTTCTATCTGTTCCAAATCCTAAATGACCATCCAGGCATTATTTCAATTCCACAAATATTGATCAAGGGACCACTGTGTACCAGGCACCACTCAGGGGTCAGGGTATGTGTGTATTACAAAGAATCAGATACACTTGGGCAGCTCACAGTCTAGCGAGGAAGACAGTGAGCAGGAAGATTCAAGTTCCATTTTGTGTGTGCACGATGAGCTAGGCCTAATCCAGAACTGGTGGACAAATGGCAGGTCAGGCTTCTGAAAGGATGTGGTATCTAATCTGAGCCTGAAGGGAGAAGACTAATCACCAGCACTAACAGGGAGAATGGGTATGTTTAAGCAGATGGAAGAGTAAGTCCCTAAAGCAAGAAGCAGCAAGAAATGCCTTACAACTGGAACATGGAATGCAAGAGGGCAGGGACGGAGGAAGGAGAGAAGCTGCAGAGCCTGTACTGCAGGAAGTTCAGTAAGCCACAGGAAGGAGGTGGCTTTTGGTCTGCGGGTAATAGGAGGCTTATGTAATAGGAAAGAAGGCAATAACTGAAATGAATACTTTAGAGGGAACCAACAGATTAGATGAAGCAGAGGATTGAATCAATGATTTAGAAGAAAAGGTAGCAGAAAACACCCAAACAGAACAGAAAAATGAAAAAAGAATCCAAAAATATGAGGATAGTTTAAGGGACCTCTGGGACAACATCAAGCATACCAACATGCGCATCATAGGGGTACCAGAAGGAGAAGAGAGAAAGCAAGGAATTAAAAACCTATTTGAAGGGCCGACTGAGTAGCTCAGTTGGTTAAGAGCTCGCTCAAGAGTTTGAGCTCTGAGCAACAGCGGTTCGAGTCCCGGCCCGAGCTGAGCAGCCGCTGAGCTGCCAACAGGTGGCAGGATGGCTCAGCTAAAAAAAACTATTTGAAAAAATAATGACAGAAAACTCCCTAACTTGGCAAAGGAAATGGATATTCAAGCCCAGGAAGTGCAGAGAGTATCAAACAAGATAAACCCAAGAAGCCCACACCAAGACACATCATAATTAAAATGTCAAAGGTTTAAGACAAAGAATCTTAAAAGCAGCAAGACAAAAGCGTTACCTACAAAGAAGCTCCCATAAGACTATCAGCTGATTTCTCAACAAAAGCTATGCAGGCCAGAAGGCACTGGCATGAAATATTCAAAGTGATGAAAAGCACCGACCTACAACCAAGATGACTCTATCCAGCAAAGCTATGCGTATCATTGTGAATTGAAGGACAGATAAAGAGCTTTCCAAACAAGAAAAAGCTAAAGGAGATCATTACCACCAAACCAGTATTACAAGGAATGTTAGAGGGACTTTTTTAAGATGAAAAGAAAAAAACAAAAAGATAAAAAACATGAATAATAAAATGGCAATAACTACATATCTATCAACAGTAACTTTCAATGTAAATGGAATAAATGCTCCTATAAAAAGACACAGGGTGGCTGAATGGATAAGAAAACAAGACCCATACATATGCTGCATACAAGAGACTCACTTCAGATCAAAAGATATACACAAACTGAAAGTAAAGGGATAAAAAAGATAGTTCATGAAAATGGAAAAAAAAAAAAGCTGGGGTAGCAATACTTATACCAGACAAAACAGACTTTAAAACAAAGACTATAAAAAGAATTAAAGAAGGACTGAGTAATCCCACTTCTGTGTATTTATCTGAAGAAACCCAAAACACTGCTTCAAGGGAATGAGCACATCCGTATGTTCGTTGCAGCACTGTTTACAATGGCCAAGACATGAGGGCAACCTGGTGTCCCCGAATGGATAAACAGATAAAGAAGAGGTGGTACACATATACAATGGAATATTAGCCAATGAAAAAAGAATGAAATCTTGCCATCTTGGGCAACATGAATGGATCTAGAGGGTATTGTGCTAAGTGTAGTTAACTCAGACAGCAAAAGACAAATGTCATATGATTTAACTTATAAGTGGAATCTAAAGAACAAAATAAGCAAATAAACGAAACGGAAACAAACTCATAGATACAGAGAACATTTTGATGGTTGCCAGATGGGAGGGGGTTTTTGGGTGGGTGAAAAAGGGGACGGGATTAAGAAACACAAATTGGTATTTAAAAAATAGTCATGGGGATGTAAAGTAAAGCATACAGAATATAATCAATATGGTAATAATTATTAAGTACCAGGTGGGTACTAGACTAGTCAGGGGGATCACTTCTTACATTATATAAATGTCTAAACACTATGCTGTACACCTGAAATTAATATAAAATAATATTGAATGTCAAGGGAAAAAAAGGAAAAGAAAATATCAATTTTGATAATATGCAAATACCACCTAGAAGTTTTTAAAGAGAAAATTGAGTAATTGGGTATAACTACTAATAGCCTTAATGTCTAAAATGCAAAAGAAGAGCAAAACATGTTTTATTTAGCATCTAAAAAGTAATTCACTTACGTTCTCAGGATGGAAGAATGAGGCAGGTGAAGCATCTTTCTTACATAATCATAGACTTTGCTACTGCACAAGTAGAGTGTACATGCAAATTGCTTCATTTCTATAGAGTACTCAGATGTTTCTGTCCAGTCATACAATTCCCACTTAAAATCTGTTAAAATAAATGTATTTAATCTTTGTGATGAAAAATGTGTACAGTAACATTTTCAGGTATAGATCATAACTGCACTGGTGGCCAAAATCCAAATATATATATATATATATATATATATATATATATATATATATATATATATATTTTTTTTTTTTTAATAAATCTCAGAACTGAATTTGTTCCAAGATTAATATCCAATTTTTGAGGGTATTGACCAATTTATCGTGTTCATCTTGAATCATTTCACTAAAAAGAGGGAAGAAAAACGTTTTAACTTGAATGATTATGTCTTACTATTGATTGGCAGCCTGAGTGGAGTGTTTTAGAGGAATGGGGAAAAAATTAAATAATTGGATAAAATTACATTTCTTGATTATGAGGACATTTATTTACTTTTTTTCCTGGTTACCATTTATCTGAGGGTAAAAAATGAGACATGAGAAACATTTCTCGGGATAGGGCACTATTCAGATTAAATTGGTAATCTTGCCTACTACTGAGAGAAAAAAAATCCTGTGTTCCTGGTGGGGACTCCTATTTATCACCTCTATTACCCTCTTGGAAAAACACAAAATATCTCCTCCTTTGGAGATACCTACTTTTTCTAGAAACAGAACATGCTTTTTATTTACTAGAATGTAAATCCAAAATTTCTGCTTCTTTCATCAAAGAGTAAGTTGGCAATTCTTATTCTGCCCCTTTTCAAACATCCTAATTCACAAAGAAGACTTGGTTGTTTTTCAATGGATATACCATACAGGGGTGCAAAAAAAATGTTACAAGTGGACGCTTTGGTCAACATTGCTCAAGCAGTAGTACGCCACAATCAGAAGTGTCTGGACGCTGATGGTAACCACTCTGAGCACCTCTTGTAATTGCAGAAGTCAAAGGTGACTTGTATTCATTGGTATATATTATTACAATTTTAATATTATAGTTTTCCTTTCTTAAAATGTGTATATATTTTCTTGGCACCCTTTGTATGTATATGTACATATATAATATATGTATATTATATATGTATGTCATATATATTAAATTTATTTAATCTTTGGGATGAAAAATGTGTACATTTTCAGGTATAGGTCATAACTGCACTGGTCACCAAAATTCAAATATATTCATTCGCATTTTAACTAAATTTGTTCAGATTAATATTATATAATATTATATATTATATATGGAAATTTTTAGAAAGAAATTGGGAGACTCATATAGTTTTGAAGCTGAAAAAGAATTTTGCAAATTATCTAGTTCAATTACACTGCAAAAGGACTTTAGTGATAAATTATGTAGCAGTTATAGAGTTGTTTTATAAAGAATTTACAGTAACGGGATTATGCTATTATAAAAAGTGAAAAGTACAGTATATGGTATAAACCATACGTTCTCATATCTGGGTAGTAAAATTATTATTATTATTATTTTTTTAAGATTTTTATTGGGGAATTGGGGGGATGGGAACAGTGCTGGGGAATTGGGGGAAGGGGAACAGACAAGTTGCTGTC